ATTCCTCTTGGTGATTAAAATTCCATTTTAAACTCACATTACCTACTCTATCTCTATGAAATTAGAGTCTTAATCAGGATAAAAGACAACTCCAGGGTAAAGATAAGGCTTCACATACTTAGAATCCATGGTGGTCTCAGAGAAAGGCTTTGAAAAAAGATACAAAGAAGGATAAAAAACAGGATCCTTGTTTATAAGGGTCTTACTTTCAGTCAAGGTCAATCCAGACCTCAATAGCGCCTTCCAATGTATTTTTGAGGCCCTTTTGCATATTTTTGATAACTTCATTTGTAGACTAATTTCAGATCTATGGAAAAAAAAATCCCAGATAATAGGCCCCATATAGCCCACATCACTTTTTTGTTATAAATATCTTCTATTAGTATACTTTTTACAATGAATGAGGAAATATTGATATATTATTATCAATTAAAGCTCATATTTTGAGATTTTTTTTGTATTTGATGTATTTCATTTTTAATTGATAAAATGCTTTGGCATATGATGGAATGGCTAAATCAAGCTATTTAACATAAGTATTACATTACATATTATTTTTTCTATGGTGAGAATACTTTAAATCTACTCTCAGCAATATTTATGTATATAATATATTATTAGTGATAGTCACCATGACATACAATAGACCCCTTGAAATTATTCCTGTCTTACTGAAATTTTATATCCTTTGACTAACTATGGAATCAATATAAGTGTTCACTGATGAATGAATGGATAAAGGAAATGTGGTATATATGCACAATGGAATACTATTCAACCTTAACAAAGAAGAAAATACTGTCATTTGTGATAACATGAAGTAACCTTTTTTCTGTTCCATGATCTCATCTAGGATGCCCATTACATCATGTGCCTTTAAGCTCCTTCGGCTGTGAAAGTTTGCAGACTTTCCTTGTCTTTGATGATTTTAGCAGTTTTGAAGATTCCTGGACAAATGTTTTGCAGACTGTCTCTCATTTGGTATTTTTCTGTTTTTTTCTTGAATATATGAAGACTATGAGATTGGGGATGGAGGACCACAGAGGGAAAGTGCCACTCTCATATAGCATCAAGGATACTTAATATCAATATGATTTATCACTCTTGATGATGACCTTAACAAACTGGCTAGCACAGTGCTTCTTAAATTTCTCCCTCCAAAGTAAATTTCTTCCCTCTTTCTATACTGTACTCTTTGGAAGGAAGTCACAATGTATGGCCCATATTTAAGGACTGGGGAGTTATGCTTTTCTACTTAAGAGGGCCCAGTATCCTTACAATTATTTAGAATTCTTCGGCATGGTAGATTTCTCTCTTCTAATCAATTTATTTTTTCATTCAACAATTCATTTATACCATTATGAATTCATGGGAAATAACCTTTATATTCTTACTCAAATCATTGGAGCTTTGTCAATTTTGAGACCTTTAAGTTGGCTGCTGTGTCCCTTTAACATATCTCATCATTGTAGGATTTTGTTTGGTTTGGGTTAGGTTACTCTTTTTTTTTTTCCAATACTTCCTTACTTTCTCATATAACAGCATGGTCCACATTCATCTGATATATTTCCTAACTCAGTAGTTGAATTTGCCATTTCTTCAAGGAGCTCTTGTTCCTTTAAGTGAAGTATAGTTTTAGAAACTAAGATCTAATGGCTAGGTGTGCTGATTACAACTGGGATAGCATTGCTTCTAGGTGCTCTCAGTTGCCAAACATGGAAGTACATACTTGTATACCAATTCCCCTATATGCAAAAATCTATAAATGTTACTAGATATAACCATATGTATATAAATAAGCACATAAATGGTAGTTTGCTCACAGAGAGAGCTAAATAAAGTGTTAGTTATCATCATTATTTTGCGGACCTATGATTTAAGTAGTTTATACACCTTTGCTTCTCTCTCTCTCTCTCTCTCTCTCTCTCTCTCTCTCTCTCTTTCTTATTAGAGACAGGGTCTCACTGAGTTGCTTAGTGCCTCACTTTTGCTGAGGCTGGCTTTGAACTTGCAGTCCTCCTGTCTCAGCCTCCTGAGCCTCTGGAATTACAGGCATGTGCCACTGAACTCAGGACTTTTGCTTATTTCTAATGTAAATTGACAACAAAAAATAAAAACAAAATCCCATACAAATGAGGATCTATGAATATTCCAAGTAAAAACAAATTGTGAATCTATCAGTTCTACAAGTGCCACCTAATACAATAGTAAGCTCTGAAGTTTCCCAGAGAGAATAAAGATGCCTAAGAGAAGGACAACTATACTTGTTGATAATCCTCATCATGAATAATCAGATTAAAGTAGCTTCTTTACTTCCTGAGTACTTCATGTTTATCAAAAAACCCTTCTACAATAGGTTTCAGTAGAGACCCACCCATGAACAATCACATGAATGGAAATAAAACATCTATTTTCCAACTATCATCCATCCAGGCACTAGATACCACAGGAATCAAAATGTTGGAATCTGTCTAAAATACAATTATTAAAATTTCATAGGAAACCATTCAGTATTCATCAGTGCCTACATACTAAATTAAATATTTGCTAGTTTTTAACATTATATGGCATACATTAAGTTTTTTCTCAGTTTTCAAGGAAAATATTGAGATTCAGAACTTTTAGTTTTTAAAAGTAATCCTAAATTCTCAAAAGGATATTATTACTGGACCAATAGAAATGAATAGCTTGTAATTCTTCATTTGTGAATAAATTACCTTTATCAGGATTTTGCCAGTTTATTCTGCCACTAGCCACAGGTGAATGTACCATTTGTATTATATCTTTTTTTTATTTAGGAGACCATAGCATCTCATTGTTTTTTAATTGTCCACTGGACCACTGTACATGAGAATATACTGAATGCTCTAATTTCTGTATCTGAAAATATGTAAATCTTCTGAAAAAGCCATTTCTCTAAGTAATAGATATATCTAATAAAACAAAGTCAGGGTCTAAAGGCAAGGATTAGGTAAAAATTCCTTCAAAATGATAACAAAAGTCTAAATACCATCAAATACTTAAAAGATAGAAATTAGAAATCCCCACAGAAACAATACTTATTAGCCTAGAAAATAATTGTCTGATATAAGGTCTTATTAATGTAATCAAGTGACATATAATTAAATGAGCTTATCCCCATAAAAAAGTTGTAAGAGAGAAAGAGAGATGTTAACTATTGATGAAACAATAAAGCACAAATAAACTTGACTTTAAGAGTACGCTATTGGGCTGGGGATTTAGCTCAGTGGTAGAGTGCTTGCTTAGCATGAGTGAGGCACTAGGTTCGATCCTCAGCATCCCATAAAAAATAAAGAAATAAAATAGAGGCATTCTTGTCCATCTACAACTAAAAAAAAATTTAAAAGAGTACACTATTACTTTTCAGGCATTGAGAGAAAAAACAGATGTCAAAGCATAAAAGTAAATGAAGACTTAGTTACTACCCCAGCACAAATAAAATCAGATGCTAACCAAATGCTTAAGTGCACTTTGTGAAGATGATAGGATAGCATGTGTTTTTAAAACTACCCTAGGGGATAGGGGTCTGTTCCAGTGATAAAGTGCTTGTCCAACATGTATGAGGCCCTGGGTTCCATCCCCAGTACCACCAAACAAACAAAACCTGCACTTTGAAAAAACATGTCAAATATAATAAATTAACTTCAAAAACAATCCAAGGACCTAGTAAGATTAAATGGCAATAATCACTAGGACTTTTCATAAATATTCTGGTCCTCTTTCTCATTCTGGGCACATAGTGGGATTGTATACTAGAATTCTACCCCGATCCCTTGAAATTATGTGTGGTCATGCAACTTGCTTTGGCCAAAGCAATCTGAGCGGTAATAGCCTCTATCAAATACTGGCAGAAGTTCTTAGAGTAAGTGTGTACCTCATCACATTCTCTTTGTCTTTCTTCCCTTACAACAGTCAAGGCTCCAGAATAAGGTTTCCCCATCAGTCTGGATTCTGAAGTGAAGAAGACACAGATCAGACCCTCCACACAAACCTCAATGGACATTAAGGACATAATGATAAATATAATCAATTTTATCTTTAACCTCCTAGAATTTGGGGATTGGTTTTTACTATAGCAAAACAGTCTACACATAGAAAACACCAGAAAGAAGAGCAGGTGTTTTCTTTTTAGTGTTGAACCTAGGGTTGCTTTACCACTAAGCTACATTCCCAGATCTTTCTTATTTTTTTATTTTTAGAAAGGGTCTCACCTAGTTGCTGAGGGTCTTGCTAAGTTGCTGAGGCTGACCTCAAACTTGCAATCCTCATGTCTCAGCTTCCCAAGTCACTAGAATTCCAAGTATGTGCCCCCGCAAAAGCATTTAAGATGATAGCAGAGATAAGGTATAAGGATGTACTACTTGAAAAACTATACTCAGATAGAAATGGATTTATGCAACAAAAATAATAGTAGAGAATGACAGGAATTCTGGCAACAGTGTCAGAGCCTTTAAATGGTAAATATGTAATAGCAAAAATTAAAAACAGTAGAAATATTTAAATTGAGGAAATTTCCAAGAAAGTAGAGCAAAATGGCAAAGAGATAATTAGAGAGAAAATGAAATTAGATCCAAGAAAACCAGTATGTGAAAAATGTGGATTCCAGAAAGAAAAAGAAAAATAATCAAAGAAACAACTCAAAATTTCCCAGAAATAAAAGGCATTAGTTTCCAGATTAAAAGGTTCTATTGAATGGCCAAAACAATGAATGAATGAATGAAACTCAAGTTTTTTGTGTGCCAAATCTATGGATTGAACCCAAGGGCATTTTGCCACTGAACATATTATATCCCCAGCCTTTTTTAAAAAAAATTATTTTTTAAATTTTGAGACAAGGTCTCTCTAAGTTGCTGATGCAGGTCTTGAACTTGCAATACTCCTGCCTCAGCCTTCTGAGTTGCTGGGATTATTGTCATGCACATTGTGCCTGGCTGGACCCACTTTTGAAAGGAGAGAGAAAGAGTAAGAGTCACAAGAAATGAATTTTTATGTTTTTATTAGTGCATTATAGTTATACATAATATTGGAGTTTATTTTATTGGGGTTCATTTTGACATAAACATACATGCATGGGATATAATTTATTCCATGTCAGTCCCTAGTCCTTCCTCTATCCCCTCCTCCCTCCCCCATTCCTCTATCTATACTCTACTACTCTTACTTCTATTTATTATTACTTTTTTAAAAAATTATTGCTTTATACATAAACATAAAAATGAAATTCACTGTGGCATATTCATATATGTACATAGCATAATTTGATTCCATCGTTCCTCCAGTTTCCTGTCCCTCCTTCCTCCCCCTTTATGCCCTTCCTCTACTCTACTTGTTCCCCTTTTAAATTTGTTGAGTATGGAGGTAGTGATCACACCAGCTCACCTTTAATACAACTCTAGGTCCCCTCCAATCTTTGGTGTGCTAGCTTTCTGTTGGGCCAGAGGAGATGGTCTCTAATAATGACTTAGCAGCCCAGTTACTCTGTTAGGGCATGTAGTCTTGTGTAGCTTTGTGCATTCAGCACTGTCAAATCCATTGTGGGCTACCCCATGTATATTTCGGAGTATACAAGGTATGGCAGTCCAAGGTAGAGGTATTATAGTCTGTTTGATGCGGCATTGGATGGTCTGTGGTGGGGGTGGGGTAAGGCTGCTGCCCTCCTTGGAGTGCGCAGGTTACAGGTCAGTGGGCTTGTATCTAAGCTCACTAGTTGGTGGCTAGTGTTTTTGAGTTGCTCCTCTGTAAGCCCCTTTGTGGGATATAGTGTTATTGTATATGCAACAGATTCTCTACTGGCTTCTTGGAATTATCCTCAGGAATTGCCTTCTGTGGGCCTGTACATCTAAATGAGAATTGAATTAACTGGAAATTCTCAGACTAACAGCTGTGGATCATCCTAGAGGTGCTGCGGCACAGAAGCTACTTCCCCAGTTGCTATGGATTTCTCACCGTGGTTTCTTGTTTGTCAGCCCAGGGCCCATGCCTGCATGCTTAGAGAGTGCTGTGATGCATCTGCTAACTGTTTCTATTATGTGCGAGGGCACAGGATGCAGGGTTCATGGCTGTGATGCTGACTGCTATGGAAAGCTGTGCACCTGCTCCCCTCCACAGGGCCTTTTTAAAAGGGGCATAGAATTGGTGGCCATCTGCAAGCGTGGGACCTGTGATTTCAGGATCTCTGTGGGTGTTCTGTTTTGCAGAAGCTTCCAACCTGTCTGATGTAGATCACTGGAGTACTGTCCCCGTGACTGAAATGGAGAATCTGTTGGCCTGCCTGTGTCTGAATTCCTACTGCCCATGGTTGTGAATTGCAGGCACCTGCTCCCCTCTGCTGGGTCTTCTTCAAGGCGGGCGGCACTATGTAAGCATTTGGTAGCTGGCTGAAACTGTGAGAACTGTGGGTGTAGACTCTCTGTGGGTCATCTGTAGACCTTGGCTGGTACAGCTCACTGTGGTTTTACCCATCACTGGGATGGAGACAGGATGTCAATTGTTCTGCCATCACCTGAGCTCCTGCTGAGGCTGTGTGAAGCATCAGATTGGGGATAACATTCCCCAAGAGTGATTAGCTCTCAGGTCAACTAGTTTTGGTAACCTTCAGCTAGCAGCAATCCCTCTACAATTTCCTTCTAGACAGATTACTGAGACAACCTGTTTCAGAGGCATTCCCTTTGGTTTTATTCATTACTCTCTGTAGGCGGGTAAAAGCTGTATTGATTTAATTTGGGTCTGTACATTTCTGGGTAGGCTGGCTAGCTATGCACTCTACAAAACGACAGCCCTGCCAGGCGCAGCTTTCAGTCAACAGTTTGGGTTAAACTGCATGATCTCCTTCACTATCTTTGCTGCTCCTGTCCCATTTTGATTTGGTCTGCTCTTCTTTCCAGCTGTTGCTAGGGAAGTGAGCTTATGTGCTTTTCCTCTCCCTCATTCTCTCTTTATTACCCCTCTCCCTAACCCCAAACAGAGGTCAAGGAATTCTGTCCTTATTTTCTACTACAGTAACCAAACTCCAAGTCCCATCAAGTCTCAAACTGTCCAGTATTGAGTCACCCACCTCTCTCTCTGGTGATCTGTTCTTTCACTGCTTCCTTTCTGGGCTGTGGATGGCTTGAGGGTTGCTGTCTAGATTCACTCTGCTATCTTCATTTCCATGAAATGAATTTAAAAAAAAAAAAATAACAAGAGGTTTATACTCCACTGTAAGGATTTTGCTTTTATTCTAAGAAAAGTGGGAAGTTACTGTGGAAGAAGTACAAGAGTCTGTTTAATGCAACGTGGGTCAATCTGTTGCATTTGCTAATACTAACTTTCTTTCCCTCATACTCCACCAACAGTTGAATGATGATATATTAAAGCATCAAAATCAAGAAAATGTGAAGAACTTCTACAAACCACTAATAAAAAGACAAATAACACAATAGAAAAATGGGAAAAACTTGAAAAAAAAGCATTTCACACAAGAAGAAACACGTAAGGCCTATGAAATATATGGAATTAAACTCTCCTTAGTGATCTGAGAAAAGCAAATCATGATTAAAATGATATGCCATTTTGCATACATTTAACAAAAACTAATGTGGTAATTCCAAATGTGGGAGAGGATGTGGATCACTAGGTTCTCTTCTACATTACTGGTAGGACTGTAAGTTTATACAAAGTTTTTTGAAAACAATTTGATATTAGTTTCCAGAATTGAACATTAAACATTCACATATATATGAACTAGCAATTCCTCTTCTTACAAAAGAAACCTTTTAATATATAGGGAAGGAGTCAATAATAAGGATATATATATATATATATATATACATATATATATATATATATACTATTTGTAAAAGCCAAAACTTTAAAATAACAAATTCCCAAGAACAGAATAATTCATAACAAAATATGACAAATTTGTATAATGGAATAATATACAACAATGTGAAGGAATGAAATAGAACTACATGCAGCAACATAGACTGATAATAGTAAAATAACACTATGTGAGAAAACCAAGCCCTGAAAAAAATATATAACACAATATTCTTTTTAAGCGAATTACTTAATTAAAAAATGTAAAATTATACAATATAAATTTTAAGCTTAGATATGAAACTTTAAAAAAGAATAATAATCAGAAAATACATGACAGTAGTTAGCTCCAGGGATGAAGCAAAGAGACAGAATGGGGGAACAACACAGAGTAAATGTTAAAGTTACCAAGTGGTTGAGATATACATACCTATACATATATATGTGTATGCATATGTGTGTGTGTCTGTGTGTGTGTGTGTGTGTGAACTTGAGGAAGAAAAAAAGCCTCCACTGATTTTCTAGCTGCGAATTCTTGAAACTTTTGTTTATCGTGGAAGGTTTTAATTTCATCTTCCATCCTGAAGCTTAATTTCGCTGGATACACAATTCTTGGTTGGAACCCATTTTCTTTCAGTGTTTGAAATATGTTATTCCAGGATCTTCTAGCTTTCAGAGTCTGTGTTGAAAGATCAGCTGTTATCCTGATTGGCTTACCCCTAAATGTAATCTGCTTCCTTTCTCTTGTAGCTTTTAAAATTCTCTCCTTATTCTATATGTTGGGCATCTTCATTATAATGTGTCTAGGTGTGGATCTCTTATGATTTTGCACATTCGGCGTCCTGTAGGATTCTAGGATTTGGGATTCTGTCTCATTCTTCAAGTCTGGGAAGTTTTCTCGTATTATTTCATTGAATAGACTGCTCATTCCTTTGGTTTGGAGCTCTGTACCTTCCTGTATCCCAATGACTCTAAAGTTTGGTCTCTTAATGTTATCCCATATTTCTTGGATGTTCTGCTCATGGTTTCTTAACAGTCTTGCTGAGCTGTCTATGTTCTTTTCCAGTTGAAATACTTTGTCTTCATTGTCTGATGTTCTATCTTCTAAGTGTTCTACTCTGCTGGTAGTATTCTCCATTGAGTTTTTAAGTTGGTTTATTGCTTCCTGAATTTCTAGGATTTCTGTTTGTTTGTTTTTTATAACCTCTATCTCCCTGTATAGTTGATCCTTTGCTTCCTGGATTTGTTTGCGTAATTCATTGTCAAAGTGATCTTTCATTGTCTGATTTTGCTGTCTAATGTCTTCCTTGATACTCCAGATCATCTGAAGCATGTATATCCTGAATTCTTTATCTGACATTCCATCTGCTGCAGCTGTTACCTCTTCTAAAGTTGCGTTGACCTGCATTGCTTGTGGTCCTTTCTTTCCTTGTCTTTTCATACTGCTTGCGTATCTTTCCTGCAGGCGCGGGCGGCGGCTCTGCTCTCTCCTTATTCCAACTGGGGTGTCGTGGCTACCACGCCGGCAGGTCACTGGGCCTGTTCTGGGCGCTGGCAGCGGCTCTGTTCTGCCCCTACTCCAATTGGGGTGACGAGTGTACCACGCCGGCAGGCCACCGGGCCTGATCCGCCAGTCGGTTGCAGGTTTGCCTACCCTGCAGGCGCGGGCGGTGGCTCTACTCTGCCCCTACTCCAAATGGGGTGACGTGTCTGTCGTACCAGCAGGCCACTGGGCCTGTCCCGCTGGTCGGTCGCAGGTCTGCCCACCTTTCGGGCACGGGTGGCGGCTCTGCTCTGTCCCTACTCCAATTGGGGTGTCGTGACTACCCCGCCTGCAGGTCGCTGGGCCTGTTCCTGGCACGGGCGGTGACTCTGCTCTGCCCCTACTCCAATTAGGGTGGTGTGTGTACCACGCCGGCAGGCTCCTGGGCCTGATCCGCCCGTCTGTCGCAGGTCTGCCTACCTTGGAGGCGTGGGCGGCGGATCTGCCCTGCCCCTCCTACCACGCCTGCGGACCCCTGGGCCTGATCTGCAGGTTGGTCACAGGTCTGCTCACCCTGCGGGCACGGGTGGCGGTTCCGCTCCACCCCCACTCCAATTGGGGTCACGTGGCCACCACACCGGCAGGGCCTGATCCGGGCGTGGGAGAAGGATCTGCTCTGCCCCTACTCCAGTTGGGGTGACGTGTGTACCACACTGGCAGGCCACTGGGCCTGACCCGCCAGTCTGTCACAGGTCTGTTTACCTTGCAAGCGCGGGCGGCGGCTCTGCCCTGCCCATCCTACCACGCCCATGTACCACTGGGTCGCGGGTCTGCCCACCTTGCGGGTGCGGGTGGCAGCTCCGCTCCACCCCCTCTCCAATTGGGGTCATGCGGTCACCACGCTGGCAAGCCACTGGGCCTGCTCAGGGCACTGGCGGCGGCCCGGCTCCTCCCCTCTGGCTCGACGACAAATTGAGGAGACTCGGGTGTCTGTGCCTCACCCCCCCTACCAGGAGACCAACTGTTTATGTCGCCGCTGGTATTGATGAAGTTCTCTTCTCCGCCGCTTTCTGATGACATCAGATCTCTGCCATGTTGGTATCCTATGCGAATGGCAGCATTTCGTTCCCCTTGCCGGGCAACCAAAGCAACGGGTGAGTCCTGACCGGCCCTCAGCAGGACCCGGACCGAGAAGCAGTTTCCGTGGGCTCCTAGCCCTGGGCCAGGGCCTCCACTGATTTTCAAGAATTGGTTTGACACTGTTGGAAGCTTGCCTGTTATTCACAGCAAAGTCTTGTTATTCTCCTGGTGGACATAAACAATTTCATAAAATACTAACATCAGACAAGGTCAATCTGAGACTATGAAAAAGTAAAATTAAACAAGATTAGTCTTTAAATTTTTCTAAGCACAAACAAAACTATGCCATTTTACAATCTTCAAAATATGAAAATGTCTTCTTCTCAGCTAAAATAAGTAACTCCCACTCTTCACCAACTACAACATTAGCCTCACAAACTCGTCCTTCCCTTTAGATAAGTTATTGAGATACCCAATCATAGAATAATCTCCATTTCTTTTTTAAAAATTTTTTTGTAGTTGTAGATGACAGAATGCTTTTATTTTATTTGTTTATTTTTATGTGGTGCAGAGGATTGAACCCAATGAATGCCTCATGCATGCTAGGCAAGCACTCTGCCACTGAGCTACAGCCCCAGCCCCTAATCTCCATTTCTTAATAGCATCAAATCCTTTTTTTTTTTTTTTTTGATACTGAGGATTGAACTCAGAGTCTCTTGACCACTGAGCCACATCCTCAGCCCTATTTTGTATTCTATTTAGACACAGGGTCTCACTGAGTTGCTTAGTGCCTCGCTTTTTGCTGAGGCTGGCTTTGAACTCGTGATCCTCCCGCCTCAGCCTCCCAAATTGCTGTGATTATAGGTGTGCAACGCCATGACCAGCTTCCAGAGTCTTTCTTCCTTAAACCCACCCTCAATTACCTAGAACAAGCCCATGTCCTGTTATGAAGCCTCTCAAATATCTGCTAAATGAAATAACATCGCTTATGCTGCAATGAGTAATAAACTCAACATGTTCAACTATAGATGTGCTCCTGGTGTTAGGCTAGAGGATACTAATTAATTAATTAAGACATTCTAAAAGCCAGTCATGGTGGTACACACCTGTAGTTCCAGCTACTTGGGAAGCTGAGGCAGGAGGATGGATTGAGTCCAGGAGTTTGAGATCAGCCTGGGCAACATAGTGAGACCCTGTCTTAAAAAACAAAAAATGTGTGGAGTGACTGGGAATGTAGCCCAATGATAGAATCTGTGCTGAATATGGCCCTGGGTTCTATCCCCAACACACAAAACCAAAAACAGTGGTGGAGCTCAGGAAAAATTGGAGGCTTTAGCTCTATTGAGTTATTTATCTCTATCTGATTTTTCTAACTAAAAATTCTCTCCCTTTAACATTCTGTTTGAATTTTTTCATGTGTACTGGGTAAAAAGGAGAAAGACTAGGGCCCTGAAGGTGAGGCATGAAGGAGTCTAACTACAAATTCAGTCTATTAGAGAAAAAAAGTCAAAGAAGGAAGCACTTATAAGAGTAGCAGCAGCACCAAGAATATCAACTGTCCTTGAAAATGACCTCACGACTCACGGAATGGCTTTAGGTCTTGGAAAGACTTTGTAGTAGACCAAGCTATTACTTTAATGACCAACTCCTTCTCTGTCCTCTTATCCAATATCTCCAACTTTCAGGAATTATTTTTTAGTATGATTAGAAAAGAAGCAAGCTGCATTGTTCACTTAAGGGGTTGAAGAAAAGAGAACAGTACAGGACTTCTATCAATTTGACCATCAATTTTTTTTGTCTTCTGTTTTCAAGGCTGTCTTTCTTTTCTTATTCATTCGTTTTTTATTATTAGAGCTTTACAGTTATATACAGTAGTTAGGTTCATCCCCATAAACTCATACATGCATGGAATTTGATTTCAGTTCATGATCCCCCCTTTTCCCTTTCCATCTTCCCTAACGTCTTCCCTCCCCTCCCCTGTTCTCCTTCCTCGACTCTACTATATTTCCTTACACTCATCTATTTATTTCAAAGTTGTCCTGTGAGGTTCACTAAGCAAAAGGAAAAAAAGGGGATCTGAAGATAAAGCAGGAAAAGCTGTAGGCATGGAGGGGCATAGCTTCAAATGAAAAAATCATGTATATTTCTTCACTTTGACAGCACATATGCTAAATAATAAAACAATACACAGTGCTCCTATGTAAGAATAACAAACAAATTTGAGAAGTGTCTTAGTTTGCTAGGCCTGTCACAACAAAATACCAGAGACTGGGTGGCTTAAACAACAGAATTTTATTTGCTCACAGTTCTTGAGGACAGAGATCCAGATGTTGGTAGGTTTGGTTTTTTCTGAGTCCTCTTTTCATGGCTTGCAGATGTCCAGTTTCCAACTGTGCTCAAACATGGTCATTCTTCTATGCACATGCATGTCTGTATCCTACTCTCCTGTTCTTTTAAGGACACAGTTCTCTATCCTTTTTTAATTAAATTTAAATTGTTAGCTATTCTTTTGTAAGGAGAAATGAACAAGGACGGAAAGAACTAGGAGGGGAGAACTGGAATGAAATAGTATGGGGATTGGACAGTGAATTTTTCCCCCCTAAGAAATGAGCCATTAAAGAGTCATTGTGTGTTGGCTCAACCAAGGATGGGTCAAAATTAAAGGGCCTGGGGTAAGCAGAAAAACTTAACTAACTTTAGTCAAATCAAGGGAGCAGGTATATTGTCCTGATTTGTCAGCGAGTACAGTTTATCTAATCACTTGGGAGGCAAAGAATGGGAATTTGGAGGGTCTGCGTCTGTAGGTAAACAAGGAGGTCTTATCCAAGTAACAGGGAGAGGGTGGTTCTTTGCAATGTTTCCTAGAAAACAAAAAAGTGAAAGTATTTCTTAATTGGCCCTTGGGTAAAATTAAACATTATTAAGTCCCTGCTTTTGTTCAACATGAATGATATTCATTGCTGGGTAACTCGGGGTCTCCAAGCATTTCTCCAGACTTGTTCAGGGAGCAATCCAGCCCATCATGCATTGCCTGCTGCAGTGACATGTTCTTTGAGGTAAGGTATATCAAGTGGCTGGTAAAATGATGAACTAGAGGAATGAGAGAGACTTAATACAAGGAGATTGAATAAAGAGCTTGTTTTAATAATCTGGATGTAAAAGATAATAACAGGTGACATTTACTTAACACTTACTTTGTACCAGACACCACTATCATATATTGCACCCTGTTCTAATTATATTAAAAGTATAACTTCTGAGGATGGGGAGATTACCGAGGAAGAACAGGAGTTTGGGGCTGATCATTAAAGCACCTGCCTGGACCTTTGCAAGTCTTTCCAAGAACTAAAGCCTCTCTATGAATCCTGAGGTTATTTTCACTGACAATTGGTTTCCTGGAGTTGCTGCTGCTCTCACAATTGATTCTTTGGTCAACTTTCTTCTTTCACAGTCCAGAGTCCTGTTTTAAAATTCTTTTATTAGATATGGTGGCTTGTTTTTTGTTTGTTTTTAACAACTTTATTGAGGTATAATTTATATACCATAATATCCTCCCACTTAAATTGTACGATTCAACAGTATACTCGTGAACTTGTGCAACCATCAACACTATCTAAATTTCGAATATTTCCGTTATCCCAGAAAGATCCCTAGTGCTCATTTACATCCACTGCATATTCTCATCGCCAGCCCTGAGCAATCATTTGATGCTTTTATTGTCTGTAGATTGGCCTCTTCTCGATTTCCTGGAGGTCCATGCTGGCCTCCAACTCAATGCTCCTGCCTCAGACTCCCAAGCAGCTGGTACTAAAGCATGTGCCACCATGCCTGCTCTTCTGGATTGTTTTTTTGTTTTGTTTGTTTGAGTTTTTGTTTTTGTGTTTTGGTACCCAGGATTGAACCCAGGGGCACTTAATCACTGAGCCACATCCCCAGCCATTTTACTTATTTTATTTATTTATTTATTTAGAGACAGATTCTCACTAAGTTGTTCAGGGCCTTGCTAAATTGCTGAGGCTTGCTTTGAACTTGCCATCCTCCTGCCTCAGTCTCTCAAACAGCTGGAGTTACAATCTTCTGGATATTTTTAAATGTAATAACACAATATGTGGTCGTTATTGTCTGGCTTCCCAGATGCCTTTTCGATTTGGAGCTAAAACTCTCCTGTGCCTCTCTCTCAGAACAACAGTCTTCTTCCAGTTATCTAGTACACATAAGCTCCATAAATCATTCTTCAATTAGAACATAAAAGGGAGGGGCTGGGATTGTGGCTCAGTGGTAGTATGCTTCCCTTACACGTGTGAGGCACTGGGTTGGATCCTCAGCACCATGTAAATAAATAAAATAATAAAATAAAGGTATTGTGTCCATCTACAACTAAAAAAATTTTTTTTAAAAGAACATAAAAGGGAGATAGACTTCATTCAACTTGTATTAGTTTCTATGTGTTCTTTCCCACATATATTATATGAATATCCAAATATATACAACATTTGTTTAGCTTCCCCTGCTTTACTAATATTAAATGAACAGTAGAACATAAAGATCTTCATCTAAATTGTTTTTCTCTAATATATTATATTGTAAACAAAAATCCTGCATAGAATAACCTTAGACATATGTCATTTAGAAAAATGCATATACACCTGGGGAATATTTATTCTATTAGTGGAAATGTTGGTCCAAGGGAATGTGCACATTTGGAATTCTGAAAGAAAATGACAAGTTTTCTACTACACTCAAATCCAACTTTTAGACCTGTGACAATTTTATTCATTAAATATAATATTTAAATGAATTCAGTGTGCATATTGCTTGGCACAAAGAAGTTACTCAACAAATATTTAATAAACTTTTTAAATTTTTGACTCTTACTCATATTAGCTTGAGAGATTTTGTCCAACTTATATTCTTTCATCAACTATGAGTGTCCATTTCCCCCAGTTTCAGTCATCATCACATTCTTAATTTTAAAAATTATTTAAATTTTTTAAATATAATTATTTTAATTTTAGCAAATAATTATTTTCATTCAGAAAACAATGACTTGAACAGTAAATATAGCTTGTCTTTGAATACCCTACTTTCCTCTCTAATCACTTTCAACTCCCATACCACTACCTCTATTCTTCCCTTCTCCACCACATGCCTAGGCTTCCTAATACTCTTTTTTCCTACCAAAATGTCATTAATGCATCTGTTTATTTTTTAGTAGTTCTTTTTAGTTATACATGACAGTACAATCCATTCTTATATATTTATATAAGCATGGGATATATTTTATTTTAATTAGGATTTCAGTCTTGTGGATGTACACGGTGGTAAGATTCACTGTGGTGTATTCATATATGTACATAGGAAAGTTATGTCAGACTAATTCCACTGTCTTTCCTATTCCTATCCCCTATATACCTTTGTACTTTCTGACATAAAGAAATATCTATCTTGGGTTGGCTCAGTGGTAGACAACTGGCCTTGTATGCATGGGGCACTGGGTTCGATCCTCAGCACCACATAAAAATGAAAAATAAAGATTTTTTAAAAAGAAATATCTATCTTGATAAGAGTAATTATCTCCAAAATGTGATGAACATAAGGTTTCTCTGCTCTCAGATTTGCATCTGGACAGCTCAGTTCCTGGGATCTCTTTGCTACTCCAGCTATCCCTTGATCCCCCCCATCTATAAAATGCGGCTAATAATAGTACATATTTCACAGAGTTATTGTGAGAATTAAATGAGTTATTTATGTAAAGTTGTGGTTTCAGTGCCTGACATATACCAAGAATTCAATCAATATTGTTGTTCTTACTACCAGCATTAGGAGGGTCTCTGATGGTTATAGCTGATGTGTTTACTGCCACCCCTATACTGTTAGCAAAACTCTGTGAGTAGAGTAGTACACATGGTTTTGGATCTTTATATGAAGCATATCTGATTCTGGGAGGAGGACTTAAATTACCACATTATAAAACCTATAATCCCAGGTTAGACCACACTAAATGTAATTCCTACCTCCAAGAATTAGACCATGATTTCAATGTTTCTTTCTCTCTGAAAAATGTAAAACAATACACTAAATATCAATGCATTATCTGCAAATGTCTATTGGTTTTCATTTCTCTTTTTAAAAATTCTATATTTTGGCCTGGGATTGTAGCTCAGCAGTAGAGCGCTCGCCTAGCACGGGCGGAACCTGGGTTCGATCCTCAGCACCACATAAAAATAAAGGCATTGTGTTGTGTCCATCTACACCTAAAAAATAAATATTTTTTAAAAATTCTATATTTTAATAACTTAACAATAATCAATAATTACATTTAAAACCCGACAAAATGAAATACATATGTTAAGACATTCCATCATAAAGCAATCCAAAAGGAAACTTATCTCTAATTAAATCTTAATATATATAACGTAATGCAAGGAAACAAAAGATTTTAAAGAACTATTTAACATAATAAATAGGAAATGGATATGAAAAAATTCATCAGGTTCCTAATAAACTTGAAAAAAATTAATAGATTTTTAAATTAATACAATATTAGGGCATAGTTTCCAACCTTAAAAAGTATAAATACTAAGAATTAAACTATTAAATATTATCTAGGATGCAAAGAAAGAACTATTTACATAAATCTAAATTGCTATGGTATTTGATAAAATGGTCAAAACATTTTTTTCAGTTATTCCACACTGGGGACTCTTAATAAGGTAAAAATCAGAAATGCAGAAGATGTTTATACTCAAAAATTCTTTACAGCATAGCTTCTAATAGTGAAATGGGGGGGAATTTCAATATTCATAGAAATGGAATATGTGATTAAACAATAAATTATTATAGAGCACAAAAGATACCCTTGGAAAATTGTTTCAGTGGCATGTATATAAAACTAAATAATACATGTAAAATATAGATTACTGTCTGATGCCAATAAAATAAAAATGTGCAATACTTGCACAGAAAAATGGTTGGGAAAATACATCAAAAGTTTGATAATAAGGAATATGAATGCTACTTCATTTTTTGAAATTACTCTAAATGTAGGGCTAATTTTTATCTAGTGATTTCAAAATATACATAAGGGCTAGTGATACCACTAAAAAAAGCTTCATAATAGTTATTCATAGGTTGAGGGAATATACATTGTTGTCCATATTAAATTTTCCTGTACCTACCAAATTGTCAACAGTGATCATGAATAATTTTTAAAATCAAAAACTAAAGCTATTTTTAAATATACACAAGAATTATTAATGGCTTAGAGAAATATCACCATACAATTATATTTAAAAGCAGGTTATAGAGAAAATTTATGTTAAATGTGAAAAATATAACTAACTAAACAGATGGGGGGGAGCTAGTAAAAATGTATCTAAACATTAAAGTTGTTGTCTCTGATATTATGAATGTGAATGTTTGAAAATTTCTCCTAAGTTCATTTGAATCTCGACAGTGTGAACATATTATTTTGATAATGAGAAAAGGTGAAGGCTACAAAATTGAATCCCAATATAAATACAGGGTAAAGAATATGAAAATCATTTAAAGAAGAGAAATGCTTTGAAACACAAAAATATGTTTAGCCTCCCTAATTATCAAAGAAATGAAAACTAAAACGTTGTCAAGATGCTAGTTTTAACCTATCACACTGATAAACAATTATTTTAAGGATCATAATCAATGCTGGAAGGTTGCAGAAAAGCATTTTATATCTATTCTCCTTGGAAACATTTATTCTGCAAATCTGGAGGGGAAGGAAGCCTAGACACTGCTACAGTTCTAGTTTGTAGAACTCGGCTGCCACCTTCAGGAAATTAATGAGATTAATAATACAGTTTTTTGGTTTGGTTTTTTTGTTTGTTTGTTTGGTTGGTTTTTGTTCGTTTCTGGTTTTGTTTTTTGGTTGACTTTATCCATATACATGAAAGCCTTTATAAACTTTGTGAACCTAGTAACTGAATGAGTTGTAATTCAGGTGACAAATCCTTGGGAAATAGCTAGATTTTTAAGTGAAAGGGAAGGAGAAAGATTATTGTATAAAAGGTAAAGATGTAGAAGAATTTGTTTAATGCAATGTGGGTCAATCTGTTGTATTTGCCAACAATAACTCTTTTTTCCCTTATACTCCACCAATAGTTCAATGACTGATATAAAAGACCCTACAATCAACAGTGGCTCAGTAAAGCAAAAAGGGAGTTTCACTAATGGAAGAAAAGTTCAGAGAGTGCAACTATTCAATGCATTGTAATAGTAGAGGTATTGAATAACAGCTGCAAAACTGTATGATAGGAAGCTCTAGGCCCTCTTTCCTCAAATAAACATAAAAAGCAAAACAAAACAACCCCACCTCAAAAAAAAAAAAAAAACAAGTAGGAGCTATCTGAACCAACTTTGCCAGAGTCTGGAAAATAGTCAAAGATTAACAGCAACCAAGCAAATACACAATCAAAAAAAGTTACCTTCAAGGGCTGGGGATGTGGCTCAAGCGGTAACACACTCACTTGGCTTGGGCGGGGTGCTGGGTTCGATCCTCAGCACCACATAAAAATAAAATAAAGATGTTGTGTCCACCAAAAACTGAAAAATAAATATTAAAAAATTCTCTCTCTTCTCTCTCTCTCTAAAAAAAAAAAAAAGTTACCTTTAAAATAATAGGATGTTTTGTGGTGTTTTACTTGCCCTTGATCCATGTCCTTCCCACTGAAGTGGTTGGCAGATTTGGTCTTGAAGAAGCAACACAGGTTCTCAGTTCTTCCCTTAAACAAAAAGAAGCAGAACACACCTTATTTGCAAATTATTGTGCACACCTGTTCTATCCTACATGGGGGATAGTTAAATGATACAAGGCACTCATCTTTGCCTCATGTGATCTAAGAGGGGGAAGGCAGCAGGTACTACTTGTAGAACTGTAAGGAACTTAGAGAAATTCAGTCCTCTGGGAAAAGCTGAAAAAAACACAAGCATGGGGGCTGGGGTTGTGGCTCAGCAGTAGAGCACTCACCTAGCACTGAGTTCGATCCTCAGCACCACATAAAAATAAATAAAATTAAGGTATTGTGTCCAACTACAACTAAAAAAAAAAAAGACACAAGCATGATGAGGAAGGATGTATTCTCAGAAACAACCTTAGATGGCACAGAGCCAATATGCAAAGATTTGGAGAGCTCCTAGCATTCAAGGACATCTCTGTCAAAACATTAGCTGAACATGAGCTAAAGGAACAAAGACACCAGTGGATATACATGACAAGGAATAATCTTTGTAAAGTTCAAAAAAGTTCTAAAACACACATATCACTATAACTTTGAATAATAACAAAAATTAACCTAGGGAAGATAGAGAATATGATTTACAACTTAAGTAATTAAATGCTCAATTCTCAATAAGAAAATTACAATGCTATACAGAGAAACAAAAAAAAATGGTCTATTCAAAAGGACAAAATAAATTGACAAAAATTAGCCTGAGGAAGCCCAGATATAGAACTTACTAGAGAAAGATGTTCAAACACCAGTCTTAAATATGCTTTAAAAATAAAGGAAAATGGCCAGGTGCAATGGCACAGCCTATAATTCCAGCAGCTCAGGAGGCAGAGGCAAGAGGATTATGAGTTCAAAGCCAGCCTCAGCAAAAGCGAGATGCTAAACAATTCAGTGAGACTGTCTCTAAATAAAATGCAAAATAGGGCTGGGGATGTGGCTCAATGGTCAAGTGTCCCTGAGTTTAATCCCCAGTACCAATAAATAAATAAATAAAAACATGCATAAAGAATGAGAGGAAATCAGGTAAACAATGTAAGAACAAAATGAGTATAGCAGTGAAGAGATAAAAATTATTAGAAGCAAAAGAGCTAATTCTGGAGCTGAAAAAAACACAGATTATTAAAATAAAAAATTTACTAAACACATTCAATAACAAATTTAAGCAGGTAGAAAAAACTTGGAGTTCATTTCAGTGAAATTGAAGGTAATGATAATTGAAGGTGAGAAATGTAAACAGTCTAAAGGATCTGTTTTAAAGAATTGGCTGACACAATTGTGGAGACTGGCAATTCCAGAATCTCCAGTATTAGCTAGTAGGCTGGAGACCCAAAGATGAGCTGTTATATTTCAAGCCTAAAGGTTACCAGGCAATAGCCCCAGCAGAGATCCACTGTTGCAGTTCAAGTTGAAAAACTACTATAGAATATACTTTTTTGTGGGGGAGGCAGGTACCAGGGATTGAACTCAGGGGCACTCAACCACTGAGCCACATCCCTAGCCCTATTTTACATTTTGAGACTCGGTTTCACTGAGTTGCTTAGTGCCTCACTTTTGCTGAGGCTGCCTTTGAACTCATGATCCTCCTGTCTCAGCCTCCAAAGCCACTGGGGTTACAGGCGTGCACCACAGTGCCCAGCCAGAATATACTCTTAGTTTAGAGTAGGTCAGTCTTTTTGTTCTGTTCAGTCCTTCACCTGATTATATGAGGCCTACCCACATTATGGAGAGCAATCTGCTTTACCGAAAACCTACCAATTTAAATGTTAATGCCATCCAAGGACACCTTCACAAAAACATGCAGAATAACATTTCACCATTATCTGGGCACCATGGTTCAGCCAGGTTGACACAATGATGAATTTTGTTATATATATTTTAAAACAATTTGGGGAGAAGGATACTGTGGATTGAACCTAGGATGCTTAACTACTGAGCCATATCTCTAGCCCTGTTTATTTTTTATTTTGAGACAGGGTCTCACTAAGTTGCTTAGGGCCTTTCTAAGTTCTGAGGCTGGCTTTGAACTTGAAATCCTCTTGCCTCAGCCTCCCTGGGATTATAGCTGTGTACCACCACACCTGGCTTAATATATTTTTTTATTAAAAAAGGAAAATAACCAGTCTTGGTGAGGATGTGGAGAAATCAAAACACTTTTACACCATTGGTGGATGTGTGGAATGGTGCAGCTGCTCTGGAAAATGGTTTGGCAGTTCTTCAAAAGTTAAAAATATAATTGCCATATGATCATTCTATTCCCAAATATATGCTCAAAAGGATGAAAAGCAGGGATACAAACAAATTCTTGTATACCAATGTTCATAGAGGCATTATTCACAATAGCTAAAAGTTGGAAACGACCCAAATATCCAACAGATGATGGATAAACAAAATGTGATGTATACTTACTATGGAATAATAGTCAGCCTTTAAAAGGAATGAAATTCTGTTACATACTACAACTTGAATGAACCTTGAAAACATGCTCAGTAAAATAAATCAGACCAAAAGAAGGACAAATGCCATATGATTCCACTTATATGAAGAATTTAAAATAAGAAAAGCCATTGAGACAGAAAGTAGAATGGAACAACCAGGAACAAGAGAAATGGGGAGTTTAATGGGTATAGAGTTTTTGTTTGGGTGATAAACAGGTTCTGGAAATGAATAGTGGCAATGATTTTGTAACATTGAGAATGTATTTAATGCCACTGAATTATACACTTAAAATGATTAAAGTAGTAAATTTCATATTCTGTATTATTGTGCATGTGGTGTCAAGGATTTAACCCAGGTTATCTCATATGCTATGCAAGTGCTCTACTACTGAACTATACCCCAGCCCAATATTCTATATACTTTGCTACAATAGAAAGAGGAAAGATATTGGGGGGAAGTGGGTGAATACTGGAATGAGGAGCTATTGTTCAGGAAATAGAACTCTGGAGTGTAAGATTTAGAGTGTTCCAAGTTATGACATGATACAATATATCATAATATATTAAGTCTAATAGCAAATTCTGATACTCCATAATAGTAGTAGAAATACCAATTCATTTTTTTTTACTTTTTTTTAATTGTAGATGGACAGAATACCTTTATTTATTTATTTTTATGTGGTACTGAGGATCAAATCCAGTGCTGCCTCACACATGCTCTACCACTGAGCCACAACCCAAGCCCCAGAAATCCCAATTCTTAATAAGGCTTATATTGCCTTCATTTCTATCACTTAGAATCTCAGCCTCTTCATTTACATAATTTCTCATAATGGACAAAAGTGTGTTTTTACAATGCAAACAGCAAATGAGGTATTAATGTAGTAAGATAGGAGTCAAAGCATTAGTGTCTTCTATGACTCTGGTCTGGTGGGAATAGAATAGATGTGTAAGGCACCTGGAATTTGAAATAGCACATTGTTTGGCTGATTTCCTAGGGGTTTTGTGAAACTAGTGAACAATTCTTAGGGTTTGGATGGAGTTTGGGTAAAGTGCTATCTCGAGCTTTCAGGAAAATTCATGATGGACTAAATTAATGGAGGAATAGCTACTTCAAATAAAGAGAAAGATATGGATACTTGTAAGGATCAAATGAGGTAATAGATGGGAAAGTCCTATTTTAACTAAATTTACAAACTTGAGATGGAATTTAATTACCCTGCAAACTAAAACTTTCCATGAACATGCAAAGGGCCTAAGTCTTTCATCTAACACAGACCCTTTAGCACAGTGTTTCAGTGTAAAGCTAAGGTATACAGGCAAATTATAGCAGGTTGTGAAGTAGACAGATAGTGAGGAATTGGAGATAGTACCTCCCAGGAAAAAAAGAGAGATGAGAACAAGAGAAGAATCTAAGGTCAAAGTATGTGAACTTTTTGGACTCAGAAAGCCAAAGGTTGAATATTTCCTCTCATATGCAAAAGCTAGTCCAAAATAAGAAAAAGAAGTTGGGGGTGGGGATTCCATGAAAATAGAAGGGAGAACAGTGGAACAGAGGAAGGAAATTGGGAGGGAGGAGGGACAAGAAAATAACAACGTATGTCTGACTATCTCTGAGATATAGAAAACACTCCAGTATTAAAAACACTCCAGTAGCTATGAGCTTGACTAGCACACAGACTTGGTTTCTTTTAACATTATTTGACTAAAGGAACCAGAGTTGCTTGGAGAAAGGGCTGAGACTAGGACTGGTGTAAAATATATAATATGAACCTAGAACATCTTTCAGTACCAGAAAGCAAGGAAGTGCTTTAAAAAAAAAAAAAAAGGCAAACCACCTTGTTGATAGGAATATATCAAAGGAACACAGGAACAAACTTCCAGAGCTCACAATAGCCAAATTTGAGCAAGCTGAAAAACAAAACATTAAAGTGTTATTGGTTATAATGAAAAGCAAAATAAATATCAGTGTATCCATATTTATATAAATTACTGAACAAATAAATACATTGGGAAGAAGACAAATCTACTATGCAGAAGAATTCCAAACATCATCAGTGATAAGTCATATTGTTACCAAAAACTCGGTCCTTGTCCCCAATGGAATCCAATAATGAGGATAAGGTTTTGAGAAAAAGGAAAAAGTTTATTGCTTTGCTAGCAAAGGAGAAACACAGGGGACTCCTGTCCCAGAGACTGTGATTCTGCCAAGCAAGGAGCTTTTAAAGAGGTGGTTCAAAGGCTACAGTCAATGTGTTCTCTGAATTGTAATTCACTTGTTAATTTGGGAGGTAGTCATTTCTGAGATCTTCTGGTGCCATCTCCAAAGTCTGAATTCCTGTGGTGGATGTATGCTTAAGGATAGATAACTTTGCCTAGGATGCAAAAGAAAGAAAATCCTGCTTCCCCTGAGATTAAGGAGGAGGGAGAGAGGAAGAGGAAAGAAACATGTCCATTTAAAAAATAAGTTGCAGTGGCACAGCAACAAGGACTATATTCAAAGCATAAAGTACTATTACAATAATGATAACATGTACCCTTGATATGATGTGATGAAATGGCAGTTTCCCCATGTGGTTTCCAAAACCTATAACCTCAGTTTAATAATGAGAATGGCAGTAGACATTATTCTGCAAAATTCCTGACCAGTATTTCTCAAGTCTGTCAAGGTCATCAAAAACAAGGCAAATGGCCAGATGCAGTGGTGCATGCCTGTAATCCCAGCAGCTTGGGAGGCTGAGGCAGGAGAATATCAAGTTCAAAACTGGCCTCAGCAACTTAGTGAGGCACTAGGTTAAGAAAGTTTGAGACCATGTCTCAAAATTTTAAGATAGAAAGGGTTGGGGATGTGGCTCAGTGGTTAAGTGCCCCTGGGTTCAATTCCTGGTACCACAAAAAAAAAAAAAAAAAAAAAAAAAACCGCAAACAAGGCAAATCTAAGAAAGTATCACAGCTAAGTGGTACCTAGAGAATTTGGGACAATGAAATGTAACATGATGATCTGGGTCCAAGAACAGAAAAGAGACTTAGGTGAAAACTGAGGAAATCAAAATGAAGTATGGATTTTATTTAAAATAATTCAGAAAAGGAAAAGAAAGGTGTGTGGGAAGGGGTCTCATGAAAATCAAAAAGATTCCAGCAACTCAGGAGGCTAAAGCAGGAGGACTGCAAGTTCAAAGCCAGTCTGGGCAACCTAGCAAGGCCCTAAGCAACTCAGCAAGACCCTGTCTTTAAATAAGATATAAAAAGGAGCTAGGGATGTGGCTCAGTGGTTAAGCACCCCTGGGGTTCAATCCCTGTTATGGGGGGCTGGGGGAGGAAGGAAAGAAACAAAGAAAGAAAATTGAAGGGACATCAGTATTATAGAGGAAGAGGACCAGGGGAGAGGAAGGAGGAGAGAAAAAGGGGGAAATACCAGGGAATTATATTGTCCAAATTATATTGTTATATTGTGTGCATGTATGAATATATAACAAATTCCAACATTATGTGCAACTATAAAGCACCAATAAAAATTATGGGGAAAATATGAGCCAACAGTATTGACTCATAAACTGTAACAAATATAGCCTATTCATATAAGATGTTAATAGGAGAAATTGCATGTAAGATATATGGGAACTCTGTACTACCTATGCAACTATTCTGTAAAACTATTCTAATATGAAAGTTTAAATTATCCATAAACTTGGAATGGTTGCCTAAGTTTCAAGTATAACACTAAATTCTATACTAATTGGGAATAAAGGTTCTAGGAATTATAATCTAAAGACAAACTGAGGGAAAACCTAATCACAGGAACTGCATCATTAGAATTCAGGTCTAGAGCTCCTATAGGAGGCACTGACACACCTGGCAGATTGTTTTGTTCTCCCTTGTTACTCTATCTCTTCCTTCCACTTTCTACTTTGTTGCTTGATTTATAACTTTGATGGCATAAAGCCCCCAATAGAGGCCCAATATTATATACTTCTTTGATATCCAGTGAAATAGGAAGGACTTCAAATGGCATAATCACAAGTCTCCCTCTCTGCTCCTGTGGATGAGGACCTCACACAGCATCAACAAAGGATTCTCAAGTAGGGGTGACTAAAGATGGAGAAAAACACAGAGACAGGTAGGACACTACACTTTGATAAAGGAACAGTGAGGCTCAAACACTCTCCACGCCTGAGCCAATAGCCCTCTTTAACAAGAGGACCAAGTGTAGTTCTTTCTTATCCTTGAGTAGCAGGTTGCATTTTCCTGCAACCTCTCAAAAGTTTTCAAAGAAGCCAGTCACATTCTCCCAGAGGTACCAAGGGTCAGCCCACACTCTTTACACTACAAAGCATGCCTCCTGTAACCTCTGGTTGTGTTCTTTGTTCATGAGTGGAAACAGGTAGAAATGATGATTGCATAACATTGTGAATGTACTTAATTTTCCTGAACTATACACTTTTAAATGGTTTAAACAGTGAATTTTATTGTAAGTGAAATTTACCAGTTTTTAAAAACCATTCATAAAGCCCTCTCCAGACCCAAGTGGAACAATCATAGAAAAGCAACAGTATAGAGACTGGAGGTGTGGCTCAGTGGTAGAGCGCTTGCCTCGCATGCATGAGGCACTGGGTTCGATCCTCAGCACCACATAAAAATGAATAAATACAATAAAGTTATTGTGTCCATTTACAACTAAAAATTAAAAAAAAAAAGAAAGAAAAGCAACAGTATGGCTGCTTAGGTCAGACTCCCTGAGTCCAATCCTAATTTCAGACCTTAATGTCCACCTTGGACACATAGCCTGACCTCTCTATGCCTCAGTTTCATTATGTGTAAAAAGGATATATTAATAGTATCAACCTCCTGGAGTTGTAGTGAGGACAAAATGAAATAACCAGTATAAAAATTTTCTTAACATAATGCCTTGCACTGAGAAAATATGCAACAAATAGACATGTATTACTATCAATCCCCCTATCTTCTAGTAATATCCAATGTCCATTCCCTAGTTTCAACTTACTCAGTGCTTGATAGAACTTATTTCTTTTTTGGCTTCCATAACTCCACACATTTTTCTAGTACTTTACTTTCCATTACTAGTGCTCCTTTGCTAATACTCTAAATGTTGGAGTAACCCAGAGCTCCACTTTCAGCCCTCTATTTAATCTGTAATCTTTCCCTAAGTAATTTCATCTAGTCCTACCATCTATACACTGGTGGCATCCAAACTTACACTCCAGAGTTCATCTCTAGCTTGAGCGCCAATACATTTCAATATGGATGTCAGGCATTCCAAAACTAACTTTACATCCTATTTGCACTACTCCTCCAGTCATCCCCATATCTTAGCCTTGCACATAGCTACTCAACCAAAACACCTGAGAATTATCCTAAGTTTTTGTATTCCCCCATCCAAAACACTGTATCTATCTACTCATCTTTACTGACAAAATATATTCTGAAGCTCTTCGATTTTACCATTCTACAACTGCTGCCACAGCAATATCAGATATACTATCAGAAAGAGCTTCCTAACTGATCTTTATGTTCCCACATGTTTCTTCTTTTGGAGATACTGGAGATTGAACCCAGGGGTGCCCTATCCGTGAACCACATCCCTAGCCCTTTTTCTTAAATTTGAGACAGGGTCTTGCTAAGATGCTGAGGCTGGCCTTGAACTTGCAATCCTCCTGCCTCAGCCTCCCAATGTGCTGGGATTACAGGTGATTACCACAACCAGATTCATGTTCCCATTTTTGCTGCTCCCCTGCCCTTTCCATTCTCCATACTGCAGCCAAAGTGATATTGTAAGCCATGCAAATTGGACTATGACACTCATTTTACTTAAGACACTCAAATACTTTAAAATAAACACTCAACCAACTAGTTACACATTCTGGCTTACACATTCTGGATCCTGGCTATATCTATATCTTTCCCTTCACTTCCTGCTACTTGGTACTTGCATCAATATGCTTTGTCTACAATGACTTTTCTTTCCTGGAATTATGTCAAACTTGTTCCCTTCACAGGGTCTTTATGACTGTTGAACCTTTGCCCTTAGTTGCATAGTTTGCTCCTTCTTCATGTTCAGTTCTCATTTCAAATATTATCTCTTCAGTGAAGCTTATGTAAAAGTGTTGAATCATCAAACCTAGCATACTGCCCTCTTTTCTTCTCCTTCAGCACTCATTATTATTTGGAGTGATTTTTTTATGCCCCACATCCCCAATAGAATGCAGATACTGGGAAAATTGCATCTTGTCTGTCTTGCACTGAGAACAATGCCTGGCACATAATTACAATATGTGTTCAATTATTGCTAGCTGAATAAATACATTACTCTTATGGTTCTAGGAGGCCAGGGAAATCCAATAGAATGGACACCACAACCACAGTTTTCCTCTCTTTTATTCATCTTGTTTAGGTTCCTTGGCATATATTTCAATGGTACAAAATCCTCTTCAAGACAATATTTTTAGATTTTATCTAACTATTGTCAAAGTTGCCAATTGGGGACAACACTGTTCCACTAAAGTGCTACAAATTGAGCAGAAGTCCTGTTATACAGTTGCTCTGGAATTGAAAGCCACCTTCCTTTCAATGTACCTTTTTAAATTCTTTGCAAAATCACTTTGGGTAGTGTGGAAATTTTAACAATTTTAAATCTTTCAGTCTATGAACATGAGGTATCTTTTCATTTGTATCTTCTTTAATTTCATTCATAAATGTTTTGTAGTTTTCAGGGCAAGTCTTTTTTCTCCTTGGTTTATTCCTAAGTATTTTGTTCTTTTCTTATGTTATTTGATGTTATTATCTTTGAAATGGAGTTATTTCTTTAAATTCCTTTTCAGATTGTTCATTCTTAGTGTTAGAAACGCAAATGACTTCATGTGGTTTTGTATTCTGCAACTTTATTGAATTCATTT